ACCACATGGCAACCACATATTCGAGCGTCTCACATTGAATTAAGTGTTTGCATATGTGGCCGAAGATGGGTGAGCAGAAGAATCTACGAGCATGTATATCACAATCTCCTCAACCCAACCCGTCTGGGGGGGTTGGCTTCAATTGGTGCCCTCGGCTTCAAAATGCAACAATCCTTGTGCACCAACAGATATACGAGTTCCATGCTATTATATCTCTTAAGACGGCACAATTTTGAACATTGCAGACAATGAACTTCATCCTTAGGAAGAGACAACCCACTGTGTGCACCACATGGACCCACATATGCTGGATTTCATTACGCACCCACATATACCACATGGCAACCACATATTCGAGCGTCTCACATTGAATTACGTGTCTGCATATGTGGCCGATAGATGGGTGAGCAGAAAAATCTACGAGTATGTATATCATAATCTCCTCAACCAACCCGTCTGGGGGGGGCTTCAAATATTGGTAGTAAAGGGTTTTTTTTTGTTCTTTTTTTTTTTCAGAGTTGTTATACATGTACATAGATGATATATGGATAAATGCATGTGTAAGAGGATATAGCTGTTTGAAAATGCAATCTAAACATAAAACTACAGATTAGAAATTGAGATTCTTATATATTTAGATACATATATAAGCATACATGGTGGGATCATATGAAGGGAGGGTTGTTTATACCTAAGACTTAACTGATTCGATGAGTTGTTCCTGATAGTTCACTCATCATAGTGTTAGCTGATGTGAGTTACTTCAGGAGCCAAAAGAATAAAATAAATTTTGGTCATTTTCAAGTTCAATAGAATGCAGCTGGATCTAGTATGAACAAGCGATCAAAATGTACAAAGATAGAACTTATAACAGATTCTCAAAACACAACCACATCTTCATGGTCATAAGGAGATTAAAATCTAGAAAATTGGAAGCCACTATTTTACGAATCTAAAGATTACAATAAATTTTGGGGATTCCTTAGCCAACAATTCGATTTTGAAGGATTTTGGGGCAATATTTACCGAGTAATCTAGGGTTTCAAGAGGTGAGGATATTAAACTTGGATGATATTCTACCAAGAGGTGAGGATTTTGAATAGAGAGAGCAAACTATGTCACTCTTTTTCAGCCTATCGAGCTTTGATAACCTTAGGTGATACTCTACCTCAAGGGGAGTTTCCCAGCTTCAATGATGATGTCCGTAAACCAATTCCAGCTCCCATCTTGTAGTAACTCGACAAGAGGTGGAAACCTCTCGGTTTACAAGACGAGAGAAAAACCTGAGTATGGATTACTCGAAACTTGAGGCATGATAAGCTAGGCAATAGTAACCCCTTCTAGTCTAGTCACGCACATCCCATAGTCCACAGTAGGGTTTGCAACATGCCAGGCTAGCCGTATCGTGGCCCTAGTGTAGACCCAGGCTCGGCCCCAGGTCATCGTGGCCCAACCCTTAGGCCACATTTTGTGGCCCGGCCCTAGTTTTTCAGGGCAAGGCTGACTGGGCCAGGCTGGGCTGGCTAGTTTTTCAGGCCAGGGCTAATTAGGGCGGCCTGGCAGTCCGGTCTGTTCCCAACTATAGTACACACATGTGAATTTGGGTCATATACAATGACAGGACTACTTGTAGCTTGGAAAGTGAGCTCTTGGACCCACATGACTTTGCCCTTTGTTTGATAGTTCACTTCAAACAATCCTAAGGTTAATTCCCCAATTTGATCCATGTAAGGAGGCAAGCTCTAAGTAGATGTCTCTGATACAATGACAAACCACCAAAATTGTTCATGGAAAGATGGTCCTCTTTTGTCGATGATCTAACAGTGAGATACCCAGTCTGTAGGAGAGGGATCTTAGGTTCGAACTCACATGCACAACTATGATACCATCTTTTATGTAATTTCTTAATGCCGAATATACAAGAATGCTTGTCTCCATTTGGGTGCTGGTTAGAAGACTGAAATTTAAGAGCTACAGTACTGTTAGACAATTGAATATAATGCATTAAAGAAATGTCTTTTTTTATTTTTTTGGGATAAGTACACAATCAATTTTAATGCATTGAATAATGAATACAGTGGATTAAATAATACTTCTCTCAATAACACCTACCTCTTGTTTTCACTATTAAAAATAGGAAATTATATAATAAGACAATTTACCTGAGGTACAAAAAGGCCACACTCACCCTTAAATGGTATCTATGAAATCCAACAGCTGGGGGTGTGTGAGTTTTGTGTACAAAAGGTAACGATCTCTTTATATACAATCCCTAAAAAATCCATGCACTTCCTTCATAATAGCCTTTTTACTCAAACACATGTCCAGAACAGTCCCACATTATACTTCCTTTTCCTGCACAAAGAGGTCTCACCATATATATATATATATATATATATATATATATCTTTATGGAATCATCATGGTCATCTCTTCAAGAACTCCTTTCCTTTTATTATGAACTGTATATACATGGGATCTCAAGTATGTGGTGATAGGCACAACCTTGGGATAAATACCCCCATCCGCTGACTCTCTTAAGTTCATGACCTGATTTATATCTTTTAATTAAGTTCCAATTCTTTATTGACAAAAACCACCCAACCTAAGATACCAATCTGGTAGTGATAAAAAAAGAATGTTTCAAGACCTTATAAGCAAACATAAAGATTGCATAAGCAAACCTCGTGGTGAAGAAACTTAAAAATATCCAATCAGTATGCAAACCTACAAGAACATCAATGAACCATACTAGATGGACATAAGAAAGAAAAATGTAAAAGGAACTATCAAGATGTAATACAGGGTACTCACTGCAAATAGTTTGCCTAATGGTGTTTCCAGGAATTCATTTAGCTGCTTCCTATACTGCAAGACCAGATAAACATCAAGGATTAGTCAACAAATCAATCAACAAACTATTAGTTCTTTACAAAGAGACCATTCAGAAACACAGAAACCATATTATGTTAAAAAATAATAAAAATAATATGTCCCCCTCTTCCATTGATGTCAACCCTCAACATCTACGTCATCAGTTTTTTCTCTCTCTCTCTCTCTCTCTCTCTCTCTCTCTCTCTCTCTCTCTCGAACTCTCTCACTGACTTATCCTCTTCCGCACCATTCCACATCTCCCTATCGCCTCCCACGAAAACACGTATGGAAGACTAGTAAATGGCGGTGGAACCTTGTAGACCATCTTATGCAGTGTAGTATGACGGTGCAATTGGCGGTTTAAAAATCTTCAAAATAAGCATGTAAGACCAACCTCAAGAAGTAGAATCAACGGAGAAAAACAAGAAAGATGCGCAAAAACCTCAAAAGAGAGAGTGTGGTCCTAAAAACCATACCATTTGATTGTATTCGTGTAATTCTAATGCAATAGTGAAAATTTGTTGACTCATTGCAAGCTTCATATTTGTTCCTTTGTACTGAAGCACTCTATTGATTCCATATTTTGTATTTTGTCATACAATTTCCAACAAACTGGTATTAGAACATGGAGCGTAAAGCATGGCATCCTCAGGTATGATGTTCCAATCTCAAGTTCCTCATCTTACAAAAGAAAATTATGAAAATTGGTGCATCCAAATGAAGACATTGCTCGAATTGCATGATGCATGGAGGTCGTTGAAAAAGGGTACAATGAACCCCAAACAATCAGAAGACTACTCTAAAAGAATTGAGGAGAGTAGACAAGCGAGCCCTCTTTTTAATCTATCAAGGCATTGACGAAGCACCTTTGAAAAGGTTGCTTCCGCCACCTCCACGAAGAAATCATGGGAGATCCTACAAAATGTCTTCAAAGGAGAAGACAAAGTGAAGAAAGTCCGTCTGCAGACATTAAGAGCCGAGTTTGAGATGCTACACATCAAAAAGTTAAAATTAATTTCTGAATAATCCTCTAGGGTGTTGGTCATAGCAAATCAACTCAAGAGGAATGGTGGAGAGCTAGACGAAGTACATATCATGGAAAAAATATTAAGATCTAATACCCATAAATTTGAGCACATAGTTGTAGCAATAGAAGAAAGTAAAGATTTGTCGACTATGAAAACCTTCCTTGCAAGCCCATGAACAAAGAATGATGAAGAAAACAAACACTCCTTTGGAGCAAGTGCTTCAAACCAATCTCTCCCTAAAAGATGGAAGAGGAGGATTTAGAGGCAGAAGTCAAAGAGGACGTTGGACATTCAACAGAGGTGGACGAGGTTATGACAATTCCAATTCCAGTGCTGGAAGAGGAAGCAGCCAAATGTTGCAATCCTCAAGAGGTCGAGGTGGTAGAAACTTTACTTGACCATTCAATCGTCAAAAGTACGATACATCTTTGATTCAATGCTTTAATTGCAAAAAATTTGGTCATTACAGTTCTGAATGTAGGTTTAAGAACTCCCAAAAGAATGGAGAACAAGTGAATTTTAGAGAGAAATCTGGATACTATCAAGAACCAATCATCCTGTTGGCTTGCAACTGTTAGCATGCAAAGAAGGAGAAAGTGAAAATAGCAACTCATGGTTTCATGATAGTGGGGCATGCAACCCTATATGTGGAAGAAAAGAAATGTTGGTGGAATTGGATGAATCAACGAACGGTAATGTAACATTTCGTTATTTCTCAAAAGTTCCGGTCAAAGGGAAAGGTAAAATTCTAATTCGACTCAAGAATAGAAAACATGAATTTATGTGCCAAACATGAAAAATAATATTCTCAGTTTGGGGCAGCTTCTGGAAAAAGGTCATGATATTCATCAAAAGGATTTAGCCCTCACCATAAAAGATAGAAATGAAAACTGGATTGTTAAAATTGGCATGTCAAAAAACAGAACGTTTTCTTCGATTATCAAAAGTGATCTTTTGCAATGTTCAAATGCATCTTTAAAGGAAAATCCATGGTTATGGCACTTGAGGTTTGGACATCTCAATTTTAATGGATTGAAATTATTGCATAACCAAAATGTAGTAAAAAGGCTGACATTAATCGATGATCTGGAACAACTTTGTGAAGGATGTGTGCTCGGGAAGCATCACCGTAAAAAATTCCCAAGTGGTGTTTAACATAGAGCATTAAAGCCCCTTGAACACATTCATACGGATGTATGTGGGCCACTTAACCAAATTTCTTATGGGCAACATAAGTATTTCCTTACCTCCATTGACGATTGCAGTCGAAAGACCTGGATTTATTTCTTGAAAGAAAAATCAGAAATTTTTGAAATCTTCAAAAATTTCAAGACTTTTGCGGAAAAACAAAGAAGCTATTTTATTAAAGTTTTAAAATCAGATAGGGGTGGTGAGTTTTTCTCAAAGGCATTTGATGAGTTTTGCAAATATCACGGTATTCTTCATCAATTTACAGCACCATGTTTACCCCAACAAAATGGAGTAGTTGAAAAAAAAAAACTAGATAATTTTGGATATGGCAAGAAACATGTTGAAATGCAAAAATACGCAAAAGAATTTTGGGCTGAGGCGGACGCTTGTGTTGTCTATATTTTGAATAGGTGTCCCACCAAAAGTGTGCAATTTAGAACACCCCAAGAGGCTTGGAGTGGACATAAGCCTAATGTGGCACATTTAAGGGTATTTGAGTGCATTGCATACTCTCATGTCCCAAATCAAATGAGACCCAAATTCGAGGACAAAAGTCAAAAATGTATTTTTATTGGATATGATGAAAATCAAAGGCTTACAAGCTTTATGGTCCTGAAACTACGAAATTGATGATTAGTAGAGATGTGGAATTTAATAAAGAAGCCTCATGGGAATGGATCAAAAAAGAAGAGAAAGGTAATTTGAGAATTAAATTGAGTGGAAATGCCAATGTTCAAGAGAGATCACAAGAACAAAATACTCCACCCTCATTTCCTCAACAAGAGTAAAGTTCATCTATTTCTTCCATGGATGAAACTTCAAATGAAAGGCCACCAAGGACACAGAGTATGAATAAAATTTATGCTCAAACAAAAAATACTAACAATGAGCACATTTCATTGATGTAGATAGACAAATTAGTGTAGTAAAAGGGCTGACAATAAGGCAAATTAGTTTGTTTTGTTTCTTCAAATAAAAGGACACAGCTCTTTACTACACTAACAATAAGGCAAAGAAGAACGAGAAGGTGAAGTAGAAAGATACAAAACAAGACTGGTTGCCAAATGATACAAGTAAAGAGCCAGGATTGACTACAAAGAGTTATTTGCTCCTGTGGCTACATTGGATACTATTATATTAATTATCGCTTTGGCTACCAAAGAAAATTGAAATTTTTTCAAATGGATGTAAAATCTTCATTTTTTTGAATGGTCATCTTGAAGAGGAAGTTTATATTGAATGACCACTGGGTTACATTATAAAGGGGCATGAAGATAAATTTTATAAATTGAAAAAGGCATTTTATGGTTTGAAACAAGCTCCTAGAGCCTGGAATGCAAGAATTGATAAATATTTTCAAGAAAATGGTTTTCTAAGTGCCCCTATGATCATGCCTTATATTTGAAGGTGAATGACAATGGCGATCTATTGATAGTTTGCTTATATTTTGATGATTTAATTTTCATTGGAAACAGCCTTAGCATGATTGATGATTTTAAGCAATACATGATTGCTGAATTTGAGATGACTGATATTGGGCTTATGAATTACTTTCTTGGAATTGAAGTTAAACAATGCGACGAAGGGATTTTTATTTGCCAAAATAGATATGCAAAGGAAATTCTCAAAAATTTTAAAATGGAGAATTGCAAGTCGGTAACTAAACCAGTAGAATGCAAGTTGAATGGAAGAGATGATGATTCTAGAGTGGATGCCACTTATTTTTAAAGCCTGGTTGGAAGCTTGCATTAATTGACATGTACTCGACCCGATATTTTGTATGGAGTAGGCTTACTAAGTCGGTATATGGAAGCTCCTAATAAAACTCACTTGAAGGCAGCCAAAAAAGTTCTTTGCTATCTAAAAGGCACATTGGATCATGGTCTGTTCTACTTCTCATTCAAATGAACTCACGATTGTTGGTTATTGTGATAGCGACGGGGAAGGTGACCTGTATGATAGAAAAAGTACTACAGGTTATGTATTTCATATTGGACCTACAGCATTTATTTGATGTTCAAAGAAGTAACCAATTGTTGCATTATCCACATGTGAAACCAAATATGTAGCTGCATGTTCATGTGTATGTCATGCAATTTGGTTGCAAAATGTGCTAAAGAATTTGCAGGTACCACAAGACATTATACATAGTGTATGGATAGTTCAAATGCATTTCTTCCAGAAGATATATAGATTTACTTGAGGGAAAACAAACGAATGCTTCCTTGCAGAAGAAAGCAAAGTAAATCATAATCCATACTCTAAATGCATTTCAATGAGCATAAAACCATATTCTAATGCACAAACGATTAACTTATCCATGAGACCATCAAGTTCCAAACTCAAAGAAACGAAAAGCCATATATGTGCAACAGCTTTAATAATTTGAATTCAACAACCTTATACAAACCCATTTAAAAGCTCAAGAGAGCCCATGGCATCCAAAACAATAGGCACAGCTCGGTCGATGAGAGATATTTTCCAAATTTTTTTTTCTTATAACCAACTGATTTCTACTACGTTGAAAAGAACAAGGAAATGCTACAGCCCGAACAGAACTAAAACAAAGAAGAATTACATACCCTAGGCCAATTTCGACGAATATCCATGGTAAACGCCTTAGATTTTTGAGAGATTCCATATTCGCGATCGATGAGCTTGGTCTGATTAGATACAAGCGTTAGGGCACGCTCAAATCTCAAAGAGAGAGAAAATCGACGATCAAGCCTTTGAGCGCCAATTCTCGCACTGTAGATAAGGTTTTCAAGGCCTTCATTTGCAGTGCGCAAGACCTCTTTGAGCTTCACCCTCCTCACCAATTCATCTAGAGTGATTGCTGAGATTTTGGGGCTTAGTTTTCTAGAGAGAGAAAGAGGGGGAACGGACGCAATTCTGGTGAGGGGAGTTTTGAATAGAGAGAGGGAGGACCGGGGTTTGTAGAGAGAGAAATGGAGGCGAAGCGCGTTCGACATGGGGAAGGAGTGAGGTGCGATTGTGGAGCGGAGGGGTCTAGAGAGAGAGAGAGAGAGAGAGAGAGAGGAGGGAGGGAGGGGTAGGGGGTAGGGTAGTAGAAGAGTGAGGAGGGTCGGTGGTAGGAGAGTAGGGAAGGTAGGGTGGACGAAGTACGGAAACGTAACGTAGGTTCGGACGGTAACGTACGTAGAG